TGGGGTGAAGGGTACAATTTACATACTGTACATACATGTACACTGTGTTTAATTTTGTACAAAAAGTGCAATGCATTATGGCCTACCACAGGTAGACATTAAATGTATGCAAGTTGGCCTCAAAAACATGCAAGATTTGAAGGGAATACAGAACATCCTGAGACCGTAGGATCTACAGTATGTGTAATTTTGTGTATACATACATACACACACACATGTTTACGTTACATACATGTACATGTACCTACATGTACATGTAGTGTGGACTTTCCATTGCTTTCGTGTAGTTAAGAAAAACCAGTGAAAAAACTCATTTTTCTCAAACTGTGAAAATTCTTTCCACCCATTTTTTGTTCTATGATTCCCTTTAGTGTTTCTCTTCATTCTGCCACAGATAAACCTAACCCCAAAATGCCTCTAAACCTGTTTTCCAGAAATGGGGAAACACTGTGTGGACTTGCCCAAGTCCACACAGCGTCGCCTCCAACTGGTTTATGTGGACCTCTTTTGTTCGGAAGTCCACACAGTGAATGTAATGCCTACCCATGTATACGTGTGTAAAGTCCTATTTTAGCCCTTACTCTCTGAGGGTAGTTTACTGCATGTCAGTTGGTTATGCCAATGCCCTCCAGCTGCAGTATATTGGCAGATAAACTATCTTGACAGTGAAGGCTCCAATTGGCAGGAGTTGGAGGCCCTGGAGGGTGCCTGATACTGACCAGCTGGGGGCACTCACTTTGTTATCAGAGGACTCTCATTGTTCTCTTTGGCATGTATTGGAGTGCCTGTCCAGTTACCCTTGAAATGACATGGCAGATATTGGAGGGCCATGCAAAAAACATAGGAGATTTTCTTGAGGCACATATTGGCATGCGTTGGAGGGTCAAGTAGGGTAAGGGTTAGGCATTTTTTACATGTATTTTGTGTTCTGACTAGTACACATGTACATGTAGGCTTATCCAGTCAAGGGCAATAATTGGGTGCTGTGAAAGAAAAGATTACAATTTACAACATATCGGTACTAAAAATATTAAAAATTGACAACTTTATATTGAAGTTTATATAAAATTAAAAAATGATGACCTCAGCTTCTGTTTAATTTGGAAATTTCTAACACGGGAGTCTGTGACTAGAACAGTCAGTGTTTAGTACCCAGACGTTCACCATGTTCACATGAAAAGTAGATGGGAACTGGCGAGACTTGCAAGCTCTATACGTAGGTGCACAATGGAAGTATTTTTGGGAGCGTTTAGGGAAATACCCAATTGACATGACTGTCTGCCAGTGCAATCATTGGTCCCGTGTACTGTTTTTAGACAGTGATACAATGAGGCGTTTCCAAGTCCAAGTAGCTCTTGGAAGTAATCCATTATGTCACTGTGCTAGTTCACACCTATGAATGATGAAGCTTCATGTAAATCACCAACGTACCGTACACGTACATGTTTATGTACAGTACATGCAACAGGTTTGTGATTCATATATTTTTTTAACAATGGCAACTTCCCTCTCGATTCTTTTGTTCTCTTTATTTGGATTTCGGTTTTGCTTAACAATTGAATTTGGGCTTGTACGGTGCCTGTTCGGTGAACATGTGAATCGGTTCCATAAATATGTGCCAAAACAGTTCTGGTTTGGTTTGTTGAACATAGTTCTACTTTCAATTCATTTCTCTTGAATGCTCTGGAAAACTCCATCAGCATACATACATGTACATGTATGTACTTTTAAAGGGAATATACATCATTTGCTTTTGCTGTAATTTTCAGAAATGGATGGAATTGGGGCGTTGGAAATATATATAGAAAATATAGTTACACTGACTTTTTTGAGGTTTTGGGTTCGAAAATGCTATAAAAACCAAGAAAAACAATCATTTTCCTGTAGTCTGGTTCCCTGACTCCATATAAGAAGAAACAGAGCAGTTTACATACATCATGTACATTGGGGAATTGTAAGGCCAGGGAACCAGTCTAGCTGGCTTGTACCCATTCATAGGTGTGTAATCGATTGCAAACAAGTGCGATGGTCAATTGGGGCCAGTATTTGAAAAAAAAAGCCATTTTTTTCCAACACTGGTCGGCTGACCAGCGTTGGAAATTGATACAAAAATACCACTTTTCTTGAAAATGACAGTATACCAGGTGCCATTATTTTACAGGATGCTTTACACTGTCATTCACTAACAGTCCAGCAAGGTATTTCAAAATGATTTGGTAGTTTTATTTTTTTATGTTTGCAAATGTTGTAATTTCCCTTTAAAACTTGAAGAACATGAACATGTACCGGTACCATAAAGTACCTGTACAATACATGTACATGTGTACAATGTACGAACATGTTTGAACACTTTTACATGTACATGTATGCGTCTGAGCTGTATGCATCAGGCATGCAACTTTTTAATTCACACTTCACTTGCACTTACGCCATTAAAAATTGAACACATTGCATTTAATCTTGTTAAGCTAATTGCTTTTTTTTGTGACATCCTTGTTTGAAGCCCAGCTTAGATCAATTTTTCAAAACTGGGATTTTGGGCTCATCGGAAAGGACATTGATCACGCTTTCCAATATTGTGTAGAATATGGGAATCAGACAAAATCTGACCGTATGTAGGTATTCTCAGCCCAATTTTCAGACCTTGGACATCTAAAAAAAAAATTGAGAAATTTGTTGTTATACATGTATGTAGTTTCCCAAATGAACTCTGTGGGAAATTTACAAATTAACTTCACTGAAAGTGAAATATATTCATTCTTCTAATGCAGAGACATGTAAGTTCTGATGCCGAAATCTGAATTGCGATATATTTTTACCTATTGGAGGCTGTTAAGTGTATAAATACGGCCATGCGACGTTTTGTTCTGGATGGTTGCATTTTATAATGTGTAGGCAAGGTCAGTTTTAAGAAGAATCTGTTTGCCTTGTTTGATTGATTTTATTGAGAAATGCCGGTATGTAAATACAGGGTATCATGACATTGGCTGTTACTCTTTATGGATGAAAAATGTAAACAACTCCCATCTTACAAAATATTATTATTTGTTTATTTCTGGTACTAAAACCGAGGATTCCTCAAAAGTGTCCTTGGCACTGTAGCTCACAAGCCTGAAGAAACCTATAGAGAGGAGACAGAGAGAAACCTATTGCAGTTTTGAGAGGTGGGAGGAAAACCCAAGAAGAATATTCTGGGGAAAACCCATGGAATCAGGTAGGGACTGAAAACCCAATCCACATATTGGCCCAGGCGGGATTCGAACCAGGGTCACAGCGGTGGAAGGCGAGGAAAGTACTGCTGCACCAACCTGACTCCCTTAATACGAGTGGTCAAGATGTTCGCACTAGTAAGCAGGAGGTTGTGGGTTTGAGTCCCACCCGCGCAAGCTTATAAATTTTTGCACTGTTCGTACTGTGTTTTTCACTCAGGTCGGCGAAGGGAAAAACCTGTTACTATAAAAAAGACCTTTTTTTTCCTTTTTTTTTTCTTTTTCCTTTGAATTCCAAAGGTCCATGTTCAATCCCGTATTTATTTTTAAACTGATTCATGTGATTGTGTTATCGCAATGTGCACAATATGTGTTAGAGTTAGTAGATCTGATGTGACTATGAGTGCAAAAAAGTGGCCTTTTGCTGGTTTTCCCCCCATGAAGTTATGCTTGACTGATTCATGTGATTTTTGCATACAACATCCTGCTGATTCGATTCTCACCTGTACTTCTGGTACCGGTATGTGTGGGAATTTGCATTGAACAAATTTATGCGAAAGGGTAAATTTTCCAAATGATCAGGAAATGATGGTTCATCTATTCAGCTATTAGACTGACGTTTTCCTTCCTTGTTCTGTGAAACGCCAAGTGTTTTCCTTTTGATTCAGTATTTTCATGTGGTATAATACCGGTACATTGCGAGTAGTGAACAGCTACTGTATGTCTACTCTACAATGTGGCTGCCTCTCTGTATAAAACAGACAAGAGTGACATACAGTACATGTATGTGTGTAGTGTGTACATGTACTAAATTGAGCCAACCACATTCAGTACATGATACATTGTACCTCTATTTTTGTACCGAGACATCTTTCAAAAGTCTTAGCAGTTGTTCAAAGCATGTGGGTATGTTGTGTACAGGCCTCATGTGTTGCATGTGAGTATTGAACTTTTCTCAATCATATTTTTGTGAGTACCGACCACATGTACATGTACCAGTACTATGTATGTGAAATACTGTTGACATGTACATTGTACATGTACTTTTTGTTCATCATCTGGTCATGTCAAGGCATATTTTATTCGTTTACATGTACAATGTAGGTATATTACTCCATTTATGTAGGTCGTTCTTAAGATACATGTACATGTACACATCCTATATGTACATGTACATGTGCATGTCAATTAAGGGTCCAAAATGTGACATTTTTTTCCTGTTCCCATATTGCCACAGAACTTTGTCGTTTGCCATTCAAGTATCGTTGAGAATGAATTCAAATGATTGTTTATTTGGGGCTGTATCATAAGTCCGACGCCTCATAGGTCCGACGCCTCATAAGTCAGAAATTTCAGACTAATGAGGCGTCGTACTTATGAGGCATAACATTTATTTATTCCGCCTCATAGGTCCGACGCCTCATAAGTCCGACGCCTCATAAGTCCGACAACGGAAAAACGAGGCGTTAAATTTGTCGGACTTACGAGGCGTTGGAGCTATGAGGCGTCGGACCTATGAGGCGTCGGACTTATGAGGCGTCGGACGTATGAGGCGTCGGCCTTATGGGCCTTTATTTGGTTAGGGAATACGATTTTGTCGGATTTATGAGGCGTCGGACCTATGAGGCGTCGGACTTATGAGCGGACCCCGTTTATTTGTTGGGCCGGTTACAAGTTTGCTATTCCTATGTATGTGTAATCACTCTTTTGAGGATTACTGCATTAAAGAGTGCATCCAGATTTTTAAAATCATAGTGTACAAATACATGTACATGTATGCATGTAACAGGGATGGGAAAAAGTGCACGTAAACTTTATAGAATGACCACGACGTACATATCATACAAGTACTTAATGTATGTGTACTTCATAAAAGATAAAACATGTAAAAGTGAAAGCTGCTGAATCAAATGAAATCCAAAACTAGAACATAGGGCATCCATTCCCATTCCATTGACAACTTCTGTGTCACCGAAACGAAATGTAGGCCTACATGTTACATATATCTGACATGGCTGACTCATTTTCACAGAATGAGCCTTGGAGATTAGGTCCAGTGATAAACCTACATGTACACACGATGCACGCGTGTAATTTCCTGCTGAATTCATGAAAAGCACACGTTTGTATGTTTCTATTAATTGTGCTTGTGTCTGGTATTTATGTGTACTTGAAAATGTTACCATACTTTGAACATTTACATGGAGTGCGTTCGTGCAGGTTTGCGGGCCGTCACTGTGTTATGGGAAAGTTTTCTATTGTTAACCCTTCGAGCAGTGGCGCAGTGAAAAAATCTCATTGTTTTCCAAATATGGTTATAATTTTTTTTCAGTGGGCCAATAAGGCCAAGCTTCCATGTAATCCTCACCCCTACTATACACCACAAGCCTGTAGACTCCCATTGGCCAGACCCTAGCCACTCCGGAGTAAGGAGTGTTGAAAGACATAAGTCAAGATGGCGCCTAATGCCTTTGTGCAGTAATGGGAGATCTTAGTGGCCAACATCTAAGTGCCGCCGATCCCTTTGTGTCCACCCCTCGTGCCGCCCAGAGCCCAGACAGGTTGTAAACAATCCTGGCCATGTGAATGACCTATATCTTGTACAAAAATTTCAAAGAAATTTGTCAAAGCTAAGAATAGAATATCATACATGGTTAAAAAATAACGGTTCAGAATCATTGTTTTTCTTTGCCAAGGGAAAGAGGAAATATGGCCGTACATATACAAGCCTATATTAGATCCATTAGAATAGGCCTAATTGTTTTGATTGTACAAAAATTGAGTGAAAACTTGTCTTGAACACGAAAAGCTGCTGTTTGTGTGTGCATTTGATTTTGTAAAGCCTTTAAAAGAATGGCGTGATATGCAATGTGTCAATGATGCAACGTGTTTGTACAGGTTTTAATCATGTGAGACTTTCTGTTTCATTTAGACCATAGAAATAACACGTGCTCAAAATGTACATACGTCCTACAAAATATGGTGCAGGCAAATGTACATGTACATGTACATGCGAGCAGTTCAGATAAGGAAACTGCGTTCTGTATGTAATAATTTCTTTTCTTTGTCGACACAGTTCGGATGGTAATGAGTCAGGCTGACTATGCTGTCCAGCAAACAGACCCAAAAGACCCAAAGGGACATGGCACCAGACCCAGTCAGCATCTTCACTAAGATGCGCAAGAGTTTGGCAGGGAAGCACTACCACAGAAACAACGGCGGCTTCGGTAATGGAACGCAAACACGCAGCAAGTCCATGACCATCCCTCAAATGGACCGCGATACTGCGATACCGTATATAAGAAACTCGTCTGTCGATAAAGCTCGGCGTAGCAGTTACAGCTCTTCCCTAGCTGCGAATGAGGAGCACGTGAAGGCAGGACTTGCCGGCGTATCCAATGGTTCCGTGCACATGAATGGTCAAGTGATGAATGGAACTTACGCAGCCATGGATGAGAACGCAAATGATGCCGCTAAGAGCGACTCGCACACAGAGCCCAAACGGCCCGAAGTCAGCGTCTTTGAAAAACAAGGGGCGCGGCCCAAAGTGCGCAAGACTTCAACTGCCGATGACAGCACTAAAGCCTTTGACAAAAGTGCCTCTGGGGGAAAAGTCGGTCTGGAGCAAGGGATGTGCCATTCTGCATGTTCTGGATCCCCAAAGGAGCCACCATGTGTGGAAATGGCACAGCCTCACTTCCCGGCCGTTGAGATCAACTGCGTCAGCTGTTCTGCTTCCAGGAGGGTGTCATCTGAAGCTTCCTCCGGAGGTGGAAAAGCCGTAATGCAGGTACCTCTCCAAGAACCAACCCCTGCTGGAGACCCGTCAGAGCTAGCAATAACCCCGGGGTCTCAATCAAGTGTCTTGTCCAACTCAGACCCTGCCTTGTCAATGTCCGAGGCTCCTGAGATGGAGAATCCTGGCTGTAGAACAGAAATTCCCAAGCCTAACCCTGCCGCTGAATCTCAACTGAAATCTGATGAAGAAGATGAAGAAATCAAGCCAAGCTTTTCTGAACCAGAACAGATTAATGTTGAGGGACAGATTCCCACAAATCCAGCTGCATCATGCTTGAGTTGCCCAACCTGTGACGAAGCTAAGGTTAGTCAAACCTCGGGAATCACCGCACTAAGTGCATCTTGTGTTTCACCTGGAGAACAGTCAAGCACAGACCTGAAATACAGCAGAGTGCCAGATGTCGGGCAAGAAGAATTGCCCATGGAGCACGGCACACTGTTGACGAGCACTGAAGGCTCAGGTCAAAGGTCACCTTCGTCAAACGCAAACCAGACTGAGTCTCTTCTAATTTCCGAATCAGTCTCTGAAGTTGAAAAAAGTGTGGAAAGCATTAACAAACTGGATCCATTAGATGAAAGTAAAACTGGCAGCAGTAAAATCTTAAAGGGTGACTTGATTTCAGAATCCAGAAGTGCTGTTGACCAGGCCATGATGGACAACATTATGGACTTAGTCCCAGCCGCCGTTGTTGAGAGTACGAGCAAACCAACCGGCGATACAGAATCTTGCAAAACAGAAGGCAGCAGGCACTGCTGCACATGCACCTGCAACAAGCCGCTGGTACATCCTGCACCTCCAAGCAGCAAGCGGGACAACGCAGTGAAAGCCACCCTCACATTGGAAGACATCCCCAAAGACATTCCCGGCAGTTCCGGGGACTCTCCAAAACTTCCCCGGACCCCTCACATCGCCATGCTTGTCAACAGCGATGAGCTATTTGCAGATGCGGACAGGAAGAGTAAGAGTCTGTCAGAGCAGGATCTGCGCATGCTGCAGACATTGAATGATTTTTCCATCCACCAAGAGGCCACGCAGAAAAAGCGGGCATTTAAAAAACCAAGTCAGGCAAATTACAGCGAGACCTCACCGGTCCTAGGTGCTGTGAATGCATCCCAAGAATCGACCAGCATCAGTCAAGAGTACCCTCCTGGTCTTGAAAGACATGACGACATCTTTGAGGATCCTGCTATTGTCTTAGGCGCTACAGGTGGTTCAGATGATATCCCGAGGAGAAAGGCTCCTCGAGTTGACAGAAGCTCTAAACCCAAGGAGCTCTGTGAAGCAGCCAAAGGGGCCACAGCAGAGGAGCCTCCTCCTCTCCCACCAAGATTGCCGGCAGCCAAAAAGAACGACCCATTTGCTGCTTATCCCATATTCGACGATGAGGACGACGATTTCCCAACTCATGAGTTCCTTCATGAGATCAACATGGACATCTACACTGATCCCAACACTACGATCAAGAGCAGGTCTCTACCTCGGGACACGACCCCAAGCCAGCGGGCCTCACCTCCGGAGCTGCGGGCCTCACCTCCGGAGCTGCGGGCAGCAAAGAGGGGGAAGACGGTCAACATGAGGAATAGATTCTCGCAGATCTTCAAGCCGGGCAGCAAGAAGAAACGTCACTCCACCCACGGATTTCCCGACCGGCCCTTGCCTGATATCCCGCTCAACCCGAGGCTTCCCAGGAGCAGCGGAAACGCACGGCAGACCAACTCGGTCTTGTTTGGAACATCTACAGGGGACATTGTGTCACAGCAAGCAGTCAAAGGTAAAGTAAAAAGACAAAATAGAATTCATTTATGATATCTGCACTTGTCATATTTGTAGTGGACAAGATACTATCCTCATCCATTCATACCTTGATAAGGGTTCCCACAGTCATGCAAAAAATCTTGGAATATAGTGGAATTTAAAAGTATAATTATAATGGAAAGTCATGGAAAATTGTTGGATTTTTTTTTACAAGGAGTCATGGAGAGTTGATAATTATAAGAAAAAAAATCATAAAAAGTAATGGATTCTATTTTAAGATTTTTTTGGGAATCTTGCTTGATCCAACTGAATAGCAAAACTTACATGTCCACTTGTGGCAGATACAGGAAGGCCTCTTGTCAATTTTGTTGGGAGAGAAAGCACTTGCACTTTTATAGGAACTCTTTTCTATGATATATTTGTGGGATTTTCATCAAATTTCAAGGCTAAGCTTGCTTGTCAAAAAATGAGGCAAAGGTACAGTGATGGAAAGGTAGAATAATATGGAAAATACTGATGCCGTTTTGATTACGTGAAATTGAAATCATATTTAAATTTTTTTTTTTTTTAGCTTTTAAGAGTACATGTACATGTATGTATGTGTAATCCCTTTTCTTTTCTGTTTTCAAAAATTCACTCTTGCAGAGGGTTTGTTGAGGGAGACCCCCACCAAAGAAGAGGTGGACAGGGCGCGAGAGCAGTTTGCGGTCAGTCTACGCAGAATTAGCGAGGTAATTAAACAAGTGTTTAATGACTTCGTGGAGATCAGGAGACAAACTTGCATTGCTTTCAACATTTAAAAAGCCAACAGATTAAATCATCCATCAATACTCACAAATTTCTGCACAATGTTAAAAAAAAAAAAACTGTTGTCTAAACCAGGCACTTTTCAACTGAAAAAAAAACCCATGCACTTAAGAAGTTGTCCATGTACTTTTTAAGTTGAGTATTTCATGGTGAAGTTTGACTTACTCTTTTTTTAACCCTAACCCCCTGAATCCTTCAAAATCCTTTTTGCAAATTGGAGGAATTTGCAGGATTGAGGTTACATTGCAAAAGTGGGTTGCTGATTTCGGAGTACGCACTGTGTCAAGGTCTTGGGCCGGACCTTGTGTTGTTTATGCTCAGCCGTGCATAAATTTAGTCCTTGATTATACTTGACATCCTCCGCACTGCTCCAGGATGTCACTGCCTCTGCCTCAGCCTATTGACAGTCATAGCTGGAGGATTTTGCAGGATTCAGGCATTGGTCACCCCTCCATGGACCATATTCAAGAAATAGCGGAGGAATTTGCAGGATTGAGGCTATATGCTATTTTTCCATGAGGCCAATTGGAGGATTTTGCAGGATTGAGGCTACATCCTAGCAAAAAGGCCTAGGGAGTTAGGGTTAAAGAAGGCTAAAGGTGCAAAATTTGACATTTCGACATTGATATGTGAAAGTTATTTTAAAACAGTTTTGCTTTTGTACTGACCCCGTGAACAGCCAGGTTTTGCCATGGGACATGACATATTTTCATTGTTCGGAAACTCGGGGTAAAATAATAGAGGTTCTGGAATATCTGACGGTGGTGTTTGTGTAAAGGCACCTTTCAGTTTCTGTTAGAAAGGAAATGGTATTTAAATATTTACACAGCGAAGATTTTGATGAGAAACACAACTGGAAATTAATAACAAAAGGATGTTTATTCTAAAGCGGACACCTGAAGTTGACATTCGCTTTCAAATGTCATGCGGTTGAAACTCACAAATCAAGTCAACATTTGTCCAGAGAGTTGCAAGATTTGATTTCAAACAGCAGAGAGGAAAAGAGAAAAAAATATATATTTGCATGTTAAAATCAACATTTCCATCAAAAATGAGAATAAACTGGCAAACGCAGAAGTCGTGAGGTAAACATTATAATTGGTCCTTTGAGTCTCAATTAAATAGATAGTGAAAAATAAAAAAGGGGGCCATCACACCTCATGTAGATCGGATCGAAAATGAAAAGAGAGGAATAGGGAAAATAATATACACATTTGTATTTGCATGTTAAAATAAGCATTTACATCAAAAATAAGAATATACTGGCAAAAGCAGAAGGATTTATAGGGTAAACAGTCCTTTGAGTCTCAATTATGCCTAAATAGTAAGTGAAAAATAAGACAAGAGACCATCACAAATTCATGTAGATCGGATCGAAAATGAAAATGACAAATTTCATCAGGTTGATGACTTTGAGCATCCGTGGTAATTTTCTGGGAATTGTGCATTGTGAAAAGCCCAAGTTAGTGTTGAAAATCATAAGGATGTTTAAGTACAGCCAAGTAAAAAAATAAGAGTTTCTCCTCCGGGCTTTTGAAAAATGAAGGAGGGAACCACCTTGTTTTTCCAAGATTGCAGATTTTTCAAGATGGATTTTCTGGACTCTTTTGCTGATCTTTTTTTGTGTCAAAAGGGGGGAAACAGAGGTGAGCAGTACATATGGAAGCGGGCGGGGACAAGAAGCTAGATTACTTATACTTGGCCAAGCAGCAGGGCTCTTTAGAGCACATGTTATTAATCATTGTAAGAAGTAAATTCTTCAAAAGCACCCTTGGCACTGTATTTAATGTAACACACAACCATGAAGAAACTGTAGAAAAGATGACAAAGAAGTATTCAGTATTAGTGGTGGGAAGAAAACCCCAGAAGATTATGATAAAACACTCTTGGCAACCGACCATGCTTGACACAGGACTGAAAGCCAAATCCACGCATTGGCCTGGACAGGATTTGAACCAGGCCCCTGACTACCCTTGAAGTACTCGTGGGTTCAAATTCTGTACCTTTTTGTTTCTTTCTCTGGTGCAGTACGGATGGTACTGGGGCCCGATGAGTTGGGATGACGCCGAGTCCCGGTTGGAGAACATGCCCGACGGCTCGTTTCTGGTCAGGGACAGCTCCGACGACCGACATCTACTGAGCCTGAGCTTCAGAGCTCAGGGCAGTACGCATCACACGCGGGTTGAGCATCATAATGGTAGGTACCAGACTGTAAGATTCGTTGTTGGGTCCATCACGAGTCAATCCCTAGTCATCACTAGTTAATCACAAGTCATCATAGTACAACACAGAGGTTATCACTAGTCAAATCTTAAGCCTTCACAATTCAAGTCACTAGTCAGTCACAAGTCATTTGTAGCAAGTCAATTGAAAGTCAAATCATAAGTCAAATCACAAGCTTTTACAAGTTAGCCACAATTTTAATCACATTTGGAGTATATTTGTAGCAAATACATGTATACGTCCATTCCTCTGAAATGTATAAAAAAAAGTTATGAGACATACCTTTTTGGTAAAAAGTTAAAGTGCATTTTTTAATCATGTAAAAATGTTTCATGCTTTTCCTGACAACTGAGGGCGCTCTTGCTGTGATGTCACTTTAGGAACACACTCTTCAAATCAGAATTTTCTTTTCAAATTGTAAATCCAAAAATCTGCTTATTGAAAATATTTGTGCACAAAGTTTTCTCTTTTAAAAAGTGAACCACTGAAAGCAGAAAAATAACCACAGCAAACCCCTAACATTCTGGTGATGTTTTAGCAGATTTGAAACTGAAGTTTCTGCCTTGAATGACATTTGGTTTTGCTCATAAATATGAAAATTTGCATCAGCATAAAAGCCAAAAGGGCACCAAAATGCCCTTAAAATGGCAATGAAGATTACAAATAAAGGTAAACGGAACGTAGAGGAACATTTTGAGGGTTTGCAATTTAAAAAATATCATTACATGGGCCCCTTGAACTACATGCATTTGTGTCCATATTCATGCGTGCTTTATCATACTGAATAAATCCTTTCTTCCAAAATACAGTGCTTTGTGTAATTGCAGGTGAGCTTGCTTGCCAAATAGTGACCGATGTATCTACGCACTGCAAACACTGTATTGGCCACAACATGCATCACCGAAATTTCTATATCTATCGATTTTTGCTGAACATATCCTCAAACTGTACTGACATACATGAGAACACATTGTGCAGACAGAACTACATGTACATGTACATGTAAACGTCTGTACGATATGTTGTTCCCATTTGTCGTGTGGAAATAGACGTACAATTACACGTATGTACATTGTATACATTGTACTGTTTTTCTGTTTTCAGGAATTCAACTGCTCATGCATGTTTTTTTGTGTTTTTCACTATAGCATACCCAAACGGGCTTGTACAATGTGCCATTCTCTTCTGACCTACAAATGTATGCATTCAAGTGCGTTTCTATGAATAGAATATCGTGAAAAGTTCAGGAGGGCAACAGGAAACAAAGTGTACAGTGTACATAGAGCAGTCACAACAGGGCAATGAAGTCGTGACGTTTTACATTGATTTTTCCTTCCTGTACATGTACATGTACATGTACATCGACAATGTATGTACATACTACAGTACATGTATTTTCATGCATGTACCCAATGAAGAATAGCCAACAAATTTCCTCCATTTATGTAAATGTAAATTCCTTTAAAATCATAAAACTGTTGAAAACGAGTCGGTTTCACCACCACCGTGCTATTTTTGAGTTTCATCTATAAAAATAGATTCCTTTTTAGATTGCTGTTTATCTAGCAATACAATAGTTATTTACTTGCCAAAAAAAAAATTGGCACACATCTATTATTGAATGGTTACTTTTTGGAATTACTTGCGGTCAGACAATTTTGTATCGCTAATGTACGGAACGGTAACCAGTGTGCTTGCACGTTGGATCTGTTTGTGCCTAAAATCAAACCTTATTTTATTCTTTTTTCAAAGTTTTGCATACGCCCTTGAAGAGAGAAAAAAACTCTTTTTTAGTTGGATTAAAATATACATGTTGAAAATTGATTGAGAGAAAAAAACTTACATTGGTTGAAGAGTGCAAAGAAAGCAACTTTAGCATTATAGCAAGTTTGAGAGAGGACTATGGTTAACCATAGTTTGACTGACTTCACTTGGACGCAGGGTGGTTAGACTACTCTAGTCGAATCAAGTATTTGGGACCGGAGCCCGGGGCATGATTGTATCAATGGTTACCACAATTCTTCATGATGCACAGCATGCAGCGAGCCAGGCCCAGTACCAAGATGTTCGTGCTGACAGCGTTTAGAGGCGTTCACATGCTGCTATTGGTGCGCAGGCGTAAATTACCTCAAGAGTCAACCACTAGTCGACTAATGGTCCTCGTCTGGACTTGCTTGTTGTTGTAAATATGTTTCTGATGGACCCTTTCATTAACATGTATTATTAAATCAACTGTCAGTCTGTCAAGTCCTTGGACTGCACCGTGCCTCTTTTTATCTAAAATTTTAAAATGTTTTTTTTTCGTCTTGTAGGTAAATTCAGTTTCTGGTCTCAGCCCTGCAGTCACGGCAGTGCCTCCATCGTTGAGTTCGTGGAGGAAGCCATGCGTCATTCCCACAGCGGCCGGGTGCTGTACTTCCTGCGGCCCCGCATGCCTGGCTACCCTCCTGCGGCAGTCCAGCTTCTGTACCCGATCTCTCGCTTCCAGAAGTCGCGCTCCCTGCAGCACATGTGCCGTTTCGTCATCCGCAAGCACGTCCGGTTGGACCACATTGACAATCTGCCCTTGCCGCGGAGGTTGAAGGACTACTTAAAGGAGGCACAATACTACACGCAGGAGGACATCTTACACTAAAGGTATAACCAGTATTTGAGAATCGTGTGTGACATCTCATACTGTCTTAGAGCCAGACGCGCTTCTTTCACTTACTGATGTTCCCATCTTGTGAAGAAATAATGATGAAAATGATGAAAATATCATTATGCAACTTTTGCCACTTTTATCATACAGTGTATGTACTTAAAAGTGAAAAATTTAAACAGAGATTGAGTGTCTCATTGACACCACAGTTTTTGGTGTGTGGTGATCATTTTGCCACAATATGTCTAAAAGCTAATGAATTTTCGCCTTTCTTTTTTTCTCCGATACTGAACTTAAATTGTTTGCATTTTGTTGATCTATATCTGCTATGTACATTGTTGGCCTTGTATGCAAACTTTTAAGTTTTTTTGAAATTGGGCATTCAACATCTTCTACATGTACATGTTTCTTCTGCACAAATGATTTGCTCTTTTTTTTCTTTAGTAAACGTACATGTACATAGATCCCAGCATTAAAATAAGACACTGGCTTGTCTTAACTATTGCCTTTATCTTTACATCAATTTTGGACCAAACATTAAAGTCCTATTTTATGCAAATTCAAAAGTCAATAAATGAATTGAGTATTAATAAAGACTATTTTCAAGGAATGTTGAAACCAATAATATTTAAATGCGAAATATTTAGAAACTGGCAATACATGCGAATACTGGTGTATAAATTTGTAAAAATGTTGCCGGCTTTATGAAAAGAAATACATGTATGAAGCAAGGGTCCAGGTGTAAAACACAAAAATATATTCTAGTATTTACCAAAAGAAATACACGTACATGTACGTGGTATTGGATTTGATTTTTAATGGATTACCTCCATACATGGCAGTGTTGTAAATAGCATTTTTGGATACTTGTTCACATGTATATATTGTAACGTGCGTAGCCAATCAGTTTCCCTAGCCCTGCCAGGTCTAGTGATGTCAGCACCTGCTGTTGAATGCCACAGCTCTGGTGGTGCTTCCAGTTGAGCCCTTCTATACCTCTGTGGTAGTGTGGATTGATTTTGGGTTGATTTGGGGTGGGTGACCTAGTGGATTGAGTTGATCACTGTGGAAGGGGGTGGATTCGGGTGGATATGGGTGGATCACCAGTGGATGGGAGGATCACTGGTGGATTTAATGTGGATCACTGTGGACCACACCCCTTTAACCAACTATAATTAATTAGACAATCAACAATAAATTAGGCACAGGAGATCTGCTTTACTTGGCAACGCATGTTACAATATTGTGGTCTGTACATGTATGAACCTAATACATGCACCTCAGTGGAAATGTTTCCTTAATTTTTTCAAAACTGTTAAGTTCACGTTGAGTGTGCCTTCTAGTTGTGTAACACAGCATTGTATGGACGATGGACCATGGATATGATGAGACAGTTCTCCTGGTGGGGGGATGGGGGAGCAGGGGGTAGAGAGTGCAGGGCATGGGGAAGGGACTTCTCTAACAAGCTCAGTGGCTTTTGTAATTAATTTTTTTCTCTGATTTGTTACAATCGAGAAAATGTTACAAAGCTGTCTGAAAGTTCCCCCACATCAAGTCAGACTTTATCCCCCTCCCCCAAATTGCACACCCCAGCCCCTATCTCTTCTACAGTGGCCCAACTAACAACTTTTCACTCTACAGAAATGCACGTAGAAATACTCTGTAAATAGTTGCGTGAGTGCAGTGGCATTAACAGATGCTGCCGTCCTCGCATACTTGTACATAAGAATTGAATATTATGCTCTGGTGACAGCAGAATTACATGTACATGTAGCTAAGGAACTTTTTCTGTACAATACTCAGAGAAGCAATTTACTGAAAATGACGATATGTTTGAGCAGCAACTGTACAGGAGGCTACTTTAAGGAATTTTGCCTTGCTAGGAACTATTATGATGAACTTAAAGTCAAAGTTGATGATTTCAAACATTCACAAAATAAGTTGTATAAACGTGTACATATATGATAAAAATGTGGCTTGACTGGTGATTTCTTTGAGAGCTCAGATTTAATCAAATTCTTGTATCGAAGTTAAGAAAATGGGATTCTACTTAAGTTTGCTAAACCAGATTTGCTGTACAAATTTGCCTTATTTTGTTATTTGAGCATCACAAATTAATGCCGTGTGAGTAACTATTTTGTATATCGGTGCATAATATATATTGTTTATGAATTTAGTTCTGTTTGATTTTTCTCGCCATTTTATTGGCTGATGATCCTGTTGATTTTTCAATAATTGCTCATGTCTTAAAATCGTGTACATTGTAGAACAAGGGTGCATAACAATCAGAACACATCAAATTAAATTTTAAGTTTCAATGTGAACCAAATTTTATTGGGAATATTATTATTATACCGACATGTACATGCTTGAAAGCCGTGGCTTTTGGGGAATGAAACTTGGTGTCCGTCTAAGCGTGCAATGTTATGATGACTACATAGAGAGCCCTCATTTTTCAAGTATACACTGCTTTACGCATTATCTCTAACACGGATATGATTTTCAGGGTTTTTCCAGCTTAATGGATTTCAAAAAGTTTCCACTGCTTTTTTTTTCTTGTGGGCCAAAATGTGATTGGAAAGTTTTGCAGTGGGTAGTTTTAAGGCGTGCCTTTTTTATGGCAAATACATAGAAAGACCCTGCCTTGCTTTGGAGATCTGTAAAATATTTGTGTGTGGAATGTTGATGTTTTATCCCCCCCCCCCATCCCACACTGCTCTATCAGCCAGTTTTGAAATATGAAATATTCCCTGGTGAAAAATTCTATGAAATAAAAAAATCCTAGGTCATTTGTTCATAGACAGCCAAAAGGCGGATACATATGTCATGAAATGTTTCATTAACTTTAAAAGCCCAGAATAAATCAATAACGGAATTTTCAGTAAGCGCGTGCAACAAATTTGTCAAATTATGCCAAGTTTGGACCATGGTATGCAAAACCAAAAACAAATAGGGTTATATTATTATACTTGGCATTGATAAATTAACATGGAATTTGGACGACAACTGCAGTTGATTGCATTGTAGCTATAGTAGTGTATCAAAAAGCCATTTTGGGAGTTTGTATGAAACATGAATTTAACATAGTTCTTGTCCCTTATGTTAAAACCTTTATTTAAAGCTTTAAAGTTGCAACTAGAATGAGAAGACTTAAAAGTGTCTTGGTTTAGCTCTGGAAATATTTGTAAAGTGAGCTGCCGTGTACATGTATGTCATAAATTAACCTCGAATATCAAGCTCTATAAGTTCTATAAATGTATATATTCTGGGCATTTAGTTTCTTTGAAATGTTTATAAATTTGAACAATTTTGTTTATATGTTTTGCTGGTTCTATATTTTGTTTTTGCTCGCTGTCTTCCTGATGGAATTTGTTTTTTGGGGGAAAATGTATATATTTATAAAAATGAATTTAAAACTGAAAACAGGCACATGGCAAACGGCGTACATGTGTAAAATAGAAAAGAAAAGGTGGCTATGTGTAACATGATAGTAACAGTGTATTGGTAATGGTAAACTCATAGGAATAAACAGTTGAGACAGATTATTAAAAAAAATAAGTATATGCATATGATATGCCAATTTATGAAAAATGTATGTTGTGTTTTATTAATTGAGTGATTGAATTTTTATGGACAAGAATAATCAGACTATGCACAGACACTACAAAAATAGTGAAGACACAATTTCATTTTTATTCATTCCCTTTTTTAATTTTAATTTTAAATGGTTTTGCATGGACAAAAACAAGCCTTGTTTGAGAACCATAGAACAGTCCACAGCACACAAGAAAATTGTGTTATTCCACTACAAAGAATCTCCTTGTTGAAAGGTACAGTCTCAGTTTTAACTTCAAAGAGTTTCAAATCTTATCAAACAACATAGTTCGAGAAATCAGATACAACTGGCCCTGAGGATACCCCTTTCCCCACCCCTATCCCCCCAAGAAAAAAAGATGCACTGAACATCCCATAAATTTCATGAATTTGAATTTGTACTTTGAATATAGGCAAAGTTTCTAGAAAGTGGATCTTGCATTCACTGGAGTAAGTCTGGTACCAAAATCACACTACTACATGTACAACATCAGCGTTGCTGGCAGTCTAGGAACCCAGCTAGAAAAAGGAATATCCAATGTCAGAAATGGCAAGTTTTGTCTAGGGCTATGATGATAACACAATGTGTCAATGGCCAAAACTGTAGTGACATCCACAAAACAGCCAATTGGAATCCAGCCACAAAATGCCATGGTGGTATTAGAGTCTGTGGCTAGCCATTTCTCCTTTGCTGACCCCACTGCATAATGACCAATGAGATCAGTAGATAGGGCTTATGAATATGCAAAAGGCGGAACAGCGCACTCTGATTGGTCCCATCCTAGCTGATGTCATACACCAGTCTCCTCCCTCTGCTTGATCCACTGGCTGAGATTGGTCACTAGCGCCTGCTGGTGTCTCTGCAGTAAGCTGTACGTAGACCCTACTGCCTGGCTCAGTATGCCTGCTAGCTCGCCCTGTAACACGCCTTTTTCTGGTAGCTTAGAGAATTCCGTCATTTGCTTGGCCGACATCAGTCTGTTTTCCACCAGACCACCTAGAAACAGACAAAGAATCCACATTATGCTTTATCAAAGTTGCCACCAAAGGCTCTGCTCTTTAATGTAACTTTTGTTCATCAGCTGGATACGCCAATCCTTTCACATGGAGTGCATTGCAGGATGCAAATCTAATAAGTAAATACGAAAGGTGTTCATTTTCTTATCAGAGGATTGGCTTAGTGTTCTTTAGAGTTTGTGGTGCTAACCCATACAGAAATGCAGTATAGTCCTCTACGTTCAGACGGAGTTGAAGGGCAATGGTTTTGTGTTGTCTGAGTAGGCTCATCGTCCATGCGAATCCTAATCAGTCGACCATTTTATTCCCGAATGATGCATGCAAATTTAAACCATGTGCAATTTTCAAATGGCGCACATGTAAAACTTGTCTCATGTGTTTGAAAAATTCAAATTTTTCGATTGACTCCAAGTTTGAATAATCGAATACTGAATTTATTAAACAGCCCTACTGGCAATGCACCCTATGTCAGTAGGCAGGTCAGAAATTGGAGACTAACTTTTTCCAATCACTGTGGACTAGCATATATTCCATGAAAACCTATCAACTATGTAAACCATAGTTCTTGACCAAACTTGCTCATGTGTGACATGCAAGAGTTGGACATCTACTGAGAAAAACAAGTGACATCTTACCAAGCAAGTGAATCTTGGGAATCTTCTTGGTTGCCTTGAGTAGCTCCTTGACGAGCGGCTCGTCGCTGACGGCGTACACGTTCTGTCCCACCAGCAGAGGGCTCATGTTCTCCAAGCGAGTGCCCAGCAAGGCCTCTCTGACGATCTTGTTGCTGTACACCTTGAGGGAGATGCCCACCTTCTTCAGCCGACGCTTCATGATGGCCAGCTCCTCCTGCGTCATCCCTTCGTGATGGAAGGCAGCGACGAGGGACCGTGAGACCATCTCCTGCCGGCACTGGTTGGCCAGAAACGTCTGGACTGCCATGGGCTGCCAGGATAAAAAAATGCTACGGTTAGAATTTGGCCAGGGTAAACTTGGTTCAATACTGGATTTTGTATAAATGGGTACCGGCATCTCATCCAGGAGTGGAAAGATCATATTCTCAGTCATTTCATGTCAAGGAAACCGGGGAATAAACACTGGCCTGATGAGCCATATAGGCTCGGGACAGATTTTCTTAAAGAAAAAATGAACACACCGAGTTGTGACCATCAACACACCCTTTTTAGAGGTCACGGGGTCCGTCTTAATGTTGACAGGTGCTTTTTATTACCTTCTTTTCAGGCATTGGCCTGTACCGCATGGAGCACTGTTCAGCCATGAGTCTGTTGTCCTTGGGTTTCTTATACTTGGTCAGCTCCATCAGCTTGGCCCGTGTGATGTGCATGGGTCTGGGCGTGCGGGTGTTGACTGATTTCATGGTGCGTACACACATCACTGACGGCACCCATACTGGTACTGCAAAGAGTAATATTTCTTTAAAGTCGGGCATGTCCATAGATCAAGCAAAGTCACTTACAAGCTATGAGGTTTGTTTAGGTTTTCTTCAGAGAAAATGAGATTTGCCCAAGTGCATCAATTTTCTGAGACAAACTTGTAATAACTGATAGCATCTCAATATCTATTCAACACTGATTTAATCATCTATAGACCAAATACTCTGTTTAAAAAATGGGGGACAATTGCAGTCGAGAACTAAGTAAGGCAGCTTGAAACTGGTTCTCTTCACGATCGGTACGGTCAGAATTTTAATTGGAAACCAGTTCAGGCCAGTTCCTGTCTCCCTATCATCGTTTGAAATAAGTTTGTGTTTACAAACGAGATCCAGTCTAATTAGGCCTAGGCCTACTCATTATTAGATGCATCGCGCTCGGTAACGGATCGCAATCAGGACCATGTACCTACGCCACATTGCGTCATTCAAACGAGTCGAAATTTAACATGTTTTCGATCGTGAGGAGAGCTCTTGGACTTAAACATGAAATTTCATTTTTCATCCAGATCGTACACTGTTTCGCACGATGGCACTTGGCAGCGCTTTTGCTTGGACCCACTATCGCCAGACCATGTCCAAATGTTAAAAAGGCAATAAGTTGGGTCCAAATTACTCGGACTAATGCACCTATCAATTGTGGGGGGGGGGGGGGGAGAACAGTCTACTCTAACCATATCCAATCCCTACAAATTAATCCATGCATGTTACCGCGCGTCCGGAAATTGGGCAGGAATCAACGCGAATCAACAATGACTTTTAACTCACCTCTTATTTTTGAGCACTTACAAAAAACTTTTGAAGCCATGGGATTAATTGTATCGAGAACGTAGCATTCACCTACTTTGACGAACCATGGTGGGTCAAATCATAAAATTTAAAACAAACTGTAGCCTGAGGTGAGGCCTTGGAACTTAACTAAACGCACAGAATGTCCGAATGTCCATTTATCGCCGCCTGCTTGAGGGCGCCCTCTACTTAGTTGATATCTGGCTCAAGCAAGCATGGACATAATAGTTCCTTATACACACTTTAGTTTTGTTTTTGTAATACATGTAGTACTTTTTTTCTTCAACATTTTTTGTCAAATTTGAAATCAATTGTGTCGTATATCACAGTCAATGATGGGACGCAAATTCAAATCAGTGCAATATGTTTTTCTTGAGTTACCGTCTCCACAAAGCGTGCAAAAGCCTTTATTTTTGTCCGATTAAAAGTGACTCGTATCCGAATTCATTTTTTTCGCGATTAGTACTCTGTGATTCCTTAAAATATATTAGTTTTATTCTTCAAGGGTTCCCGTTGATTTCCAAAACACTAGTGTTCTAGATCCCGAACAATTATTGAACGAAATTACAATTCAGTGCACTGTGTTGTTCTTGAGTTATCGTCTCCACAAAGAGTGCTTTATTTTTGTCCGATTAAAAGTGACTCAAATCCGAATTGAATTCTTCGCAATTAGTACGCTGTTTCCTTAAATCATATTAAATTTATTCTTCAAGTTTTGCCGTTGATTTTCAAAACATTAGTGCTCTACATCCCGAACAATTATTGAACGAAATTTCAATTCAGTGCACTGTGTTGTTCTTGAGTTATCGTCTCCACAAATAGTGCTTTATTTTTGTCCGATTAAAAGTGACTCGAATCCGAATTGAATTCTTCGCAATTAGTACGCTGTGTTTCCTTAAATCATATTAAATTTATTCTTCAAGTGTTGCCGTTGATTTTCAAAACATTAGTGTCCTACATCCCGAACAATTATTGAACGAAATTTCAATTCATTGCACTGTGTTGTTCCTGAGTTATCGTCTCCGCAAAGTGTGCTTTATTTTTGTTCACTATTCAAACACCCCAAATTTCAAAGATTTAGACAAAATTCATTGATATTTTTGAGGACAAAAGTTACATTTTCAACCCATTTTGCCCCAATTTTTAGGCGAAATTTTCTTTTTAGAAGCACGTCTGTCATCAAATCGCATTGGAATCTCTTCTAGGGTCCATTTGCATCTTCTCTACAAGTTTTTTACGGAAATTCATTTTTTCGGCCAAAATTTGGCCAAAAATGGACTTTTCTCCAAACAACTCAGAAAATCCTTCAGAGGCAAGAGGAGCATCAATCACTATTCAAACACCCCAAATTTCAAAGATTTCGACAAAATTCATTGATATTTTTGAGGAAAAAAGTCACATTTTCAACTGATTTAGCCCCAATTTTTAGGCGAAATTTTCTTTTTAGAAGCAAGTATGTCATCAAATCGCATTGGAATCAAGGACGGATCCAGGGGGGGGGGGGCCAAAGGGGGCCATGGCCCCCCCCCCCCAAAAAAACGAAATCAATTTTTTTTTTTTATGTGACATCGCAATAACGGCAGGCAATGAGTACACCACCATCTTTTCCTCAAACAAAAAAACATTGGTTAAAGAGGTCAGAAATTGCCTCGGATCGCACCACAGAACATCTAGAATCCAAAAAATTTTCGGGGCCCGCTTCCCCACGCCGTAATTTTTTTGACCCACTTTTTGACATCGCAATAAAGGCAGGCAATGAGTACACCACCATCTTTTCCTTAAAAAAAAACATTGGTTAAAGTGGTCAGAAATTGCCTCAGATCGCACCACAGAGCATCTAGAATCCAAATTTTTTTTGACCCACTTTTTGGGGAGACCAAACATTTTTTGGGCCCCCCAAAAATTGTGTTCTGGATCCGCCCTTGATTGGAATGTCTTCTAAGATCCTTTAGGCATCTTCCCTAATAATTTTACGGAAATTAATTTTTCGGCCAAAATTGAAAAAAAAACAACAAGGGGTTTGCCTTACATTTTTATCAAAATTTGGCCAAAAATGGACTTTTCTCCAGACAACTCAGAAAATCCTTCAGAGGCAAGAGGAACATCAATCACTATTCAAACACCCCAAATTTCAAAGATTTCGACAAAATTCATTGATATTTTTGAGGAAAAAAAATCACATTTTCAACCGGTTTTGCCCAAATTTTAGGCGCAATTTTCTTTTTAGAAGCACGTCCGTCATCAAATCGCATTGGAATGTCTTCTAGGGTCCATTAGGCATCTTCCCTACAAGTTTTACGGAAATTCATTTTTCGGCCAAAATTGAAAAAAATGCAAGGGGTTAGCCTTACATTTTTATCAAAATTTGGCCAAAAATGGACTTTTCTCCAAACAACTCAGAAAATCCTTCAGAGGCAAGAGGAACATCAATCACTATTTAAACACCTCAAATTTCAAAGATTTCGACACAATTCATTGATATTTTTGAGGAAAAAAAAATCACATTTTCAAGCGGTTTTGCCCCAATTTTAGGCGAAATTTTCTTTTTAGAAGCACGTCCGTCATCAAATCGCATTGGAATGTCTTCTAGGGTCTATTAGGCATCTTCCCTACAAGTTTTACGGAAATTAATTTTTTGGCCAAAATTGAAAAAAATGCAAGGGGTTAGCCTTACATTTTATCAAAATTTGGCCAAAAATGGACTTTTCTCCAAACAACTCAGAAAATCCTTCAGAGGCAAGAGGAACATCAATCACTATTCAAACATCTCAAATTTCAAAGATTTAGACAAATTCATTGATATGTTTGAGGAAAAAAGTCACATTTTCAACTGATTTAGCCCCAATTTTTAGGCGAAAATTTCTTTTTAGAAGCAAGTATGTCATCAAATCGCATCGGAATGTCTTCTAGGATCCTTTATGCATCTTCCCTACAAGTTTTACGGAAATTCATTTTTCGGCCAAAATTGAAAAAAATGCAAGGGGTTAGCCTTACATTTTTATCAAAATTTGGCCAAAAATTGACTTTTCTCCAAACAACTCAGAAAATTCTTCAGAGGCAAGAGGAACATCAATCACTATTCAAACACCCCAAATTTCAATGATTTAGACAATATTCATTGATATTTTTGAGGAAAAAAAAATCACATTTTCAAGCGGTTTTGCCCAAGTTTTAGGCGAAATTTTCTAATTAGAAGTACGTCCGTCATCAAATCGAATTGGAATGTCTTCTAGGGTCCATTAGGCATCTTCCCTACAAGTTTTACGGAAATTCTTTTTTTGGCCAAAATTGAAAAAAATGCAAGGGGTTAGCCTTAGATTTTTATCAAAATTTGGCCAAAAATGGACTTTTCTCCAAACAACTCAGAAACTCCTTTAGAGGCAAGAGGAACATCAATCACTATTCAAACACCCCAAATTTCAAAGATATAGACAAATTACATTGATATTTTTGAGGAAAAAAAATCACATTTTCAACCGGTTTTGCCCAAATTTTAGGCGATTTTTTTGTTTAAGAAGCACGTCCGTCATCAAATCGAATTGGAATGTCTTCTAGGGTCTATTAGGCATCTTCCCTACAAGTTTTACGGAAATTAATTTTTTGGCCCAAAATTGAAAAAAATGCAAGGGGTTAGCCTTACATTTTTATCAAAATTTGGCCAAAAATGGACTTTTCTCCAAACAACTCAGAAAATACTGCAGAGGCAAGACGAACATCAATCACTATTCAAACACCCCAAATTTCAAAGATTTAGACAAAACTCATTGATATTTTTGAGGAAAAAAGTCACATTTTCAACTGATTTAGCCCCAATTTTTAGGCGAAATTTTCTTTTTAGAAGCAAGTATGTCATCAAATCGCATTGGAATGTCTTCTAGGATCCTTTAGGCATCTTCCCTACAAGTTTTACGGAAATTCATATTTCGGCCAAAATTGAAAAAATTGCAAGGGGTTAGCCTTACATTTTTATCAAAATTTGGCCAAAAATGGACTTTTCTCCAAACAACTCAGAAAATCCTTCAGAGGCAAGAGGAACATCAATCACTATTTAAACACCTCAAATTTCAAAGATTTCGACAAAATTCATTGATATTTTTGAGGAAAAAAAATCACATTTTCAACCGGTTTTGCCCCAATATTAGGCGAAATTTTCTTTTTAGAAGCAAGTATGTCATCAAATCGCATCGGAATGTCTTCTAGTATCCTTTAGGCATCTTCTCTACAAGTTTTACGGAAATTCATTTTTCGGCCAAAATTGAAAAAAATGCAAGGGGTTAGCCTTACATTTTTATCAAAATTTGGCCAAAAATGGACTTTTCTCCAAACAACTCAGAAAATTCTTCAGAGGCAAGAGGAACATCAATCACTATTCAAACACCCCAAATTTCAATGATTTAGACAATATTCATTGATATTTTTGAGGGAAAAAAAATCACATTTTCAAGCGGTTTTGCCCAAATTTTAGGCGAAATTTTCTTTTTAGAAGCACGTCCGTCATCAAATCGAATTGGAATGTCTTCTAGGGTCCATTAGGCATCTTCCCTACAAGTTTTACGGAAATTCATTTTTTGGCCAAAATTGAAAAAAATGCAAGGGGTTAGCCTGAGATTTTTATCAAAATTTGGCCAAAAATGGACTTTTCTCCAAACAACTCAGAAAATTCTTCAGAGGCAAGAGGAACATCAATCACTATTCAAACACCCCAAATTTCAATGATTTAGACAATATTCATTGATATTTTTGAGGAAAAAAAAATCACATTTTCAAGCGGTTTTGCCCCAATTTTAGGCGAAATTTTCTTTTTAGAAGCACGTCCGTCATCAAATCGAATTGGAATGTCTTCTAGGGTCCATTAGGCATCTTCCCTACAAGTTTTACGGAAATTCTTTTTTGGCCAAAATTGAAAAAAATGCAAGGGGTTAGCCTTACATTTTTATCAAAATTTGGCCAAAAATGGACTTTTCTCCAAACAACTCAGAAAATCCTTCAGAGGCAAGAGGAACATCAATCACTATTCAAACACCTCAAATTTCAAAGATTTCGACAAAATTCATTGATATTTTTGAGGAAAAAAAATCACATTTTCAAGCGGTTTTGCCCCAATATTAGGCGAAATTTTCTTTTCAGAAGCACGTCCGTCATCAAATCGAATTGGAATGTCTTCTAGGGTCCATTAGGCA